AAAGTTTTTAATGACTAGTTTAAATCCACTTTTCTTTGTATTTTTTGTTTTAAATTATTTATATTTGATTTAAATAAAGTTTTTAAATGCAGTAAGAACTAAAGGTACTGTGAGGACTGAGATCACTAAATGATACCTCCGTCCCCATATGATTATTAATAATTTTAGTTAAGTGTGAAGTTTTGCATTACGTCACAACCTATGATGACAGCTGCGCTCAAGGTAAATAGTACACGCCTCCTAACCGCAAGCTATACGACTGGAAGTTTCTTCTAATCCCTGATTAGTTGCTTGTGCAACATACTATTTCCCTGTCAATATTGATAATATGAGTTGACCAATCACACAGCGGCGCTGTGTACGCTGGATGCATCTGTCGAAAAAGATCGTGACGTAATGCAAAGCTTGACACTTAACTGAAATTACTAATATAATGGCAAAGTCCATGTTTTGGTCTGGGAGACCCGAAATAAGTGTCAGATAAAAAGGTAAAATAGGAGGTACACAATGACATTATGTAATAAAAGATCATAACATTTTATTCAGGAGGAGTTGCAGATAAGAGATGAATACCCCTCAATAAAATAGATAGAATGGCAGTGTCCATGTCCCAAAATATATATCGGATAAAAAAAGTAAAATAGGAGGTGCACAAGTGCAATATGTAACAAAGATTCTTTGAATTGAAACATATGGAGATACGAAAAATATTCAAGATCAAAAATCCATAAAACAATACAAAATAGGTGCAGAGCAAACACGAACCTCCAAAACATCAGACGTGGGTTTAGGTGCCATGGAGGAGTGAGCATCCCTTGCTGACCGCCGTGTGCTCCTTGCCATGATCGGGAAATAACGGGAAAATCCGTCGTCAATTCAGTATATAAATAATGGACTAACAATTAGTATGAAAAACGTCAGTCAGCATTTGACTCGATGATAAATTGTATTGCCTACAAGGTCATTATATCGACCGTAAAACTTACGAAATGATGGCTTTAAACGAGACTGCTGATATTCTTGTTTCATCAACTTCTTTGTCAATAATTTACCTCGTTTTAGAAAGATTTCATACGTAGAGCCTACTCCTGAAAAGTTAAAGTCATCACGTTTATCTTAGAGCTTGGTTGTTAGATTACCATTAACGTCTTTTTCAAGTAAAATTGATATGTATGTAATTTATGTTCCTTGTATATTAAATACATGTACAATGTAAGTCTATAAAGAAGCAGATGGAAGATTGAACAAAAGGGCGTTTCATTTAAACTTTTTTCGCTTCTTGTAGAATAAATCAACTTCATATCTGACCAGGTCAAGAAGTGTATATATTTTCATATTACCTGCTGCTTTTAGTCATCTGATGTACACAATTCTTCAAGGATTAACAATATATTTATCTAGATGATCTGACAAGAACAAAATGGTATCTACAATAAGCGAATGTTGAGATAATTTAACCGAGAGAAAAATTAAGGGAATGATAACATGGATTGTAAATAATGTAGACATAGTTTATTTTATTTTCAAGAATGTGTAGAATAGGACGTATTAAAAAATCACAAATAGGTAGGGGGAGGGTAAAACAGAGTGGAATGTAGTCTCCTTCTGAGCATGAAAAACTGATATATATTACTGCGAAACAAATTGGTACAAAACAAAGTAAGGTCTTATATTTGAATTCACCGATATTTATTCATGAAAAGTTGAAGCGTATTTGCCTTTCGCCATTTTGGACTAGGGTAACGCACTTGACCCTAGTCCGTTTCTACTCAGTGAGTATAATACATCATTATTAAATGGCTTGCATAATAAAGAATTATGTTGAGTTTCCTTTCTCTGTGGTATTAACTAAAATCCTATAGACTTCTATTTAACGTGGACATGAAATTAAAATTTGAACAATATTACGTAAATAACAAATTTTACTAAGCAATGAAACTGGAATAGTAAAATAAAGATGTGCAAAAACCTTCTCAGTGACCTTTTGATTTAAAGAACTTGAACCAATTGGAATTTAGACCACCTTGTTTCTTCCAAAACTTTGATTAGCAATAATTGCTCGTCAAAAAGGCTTTGGCTGCAGCGAAAAACACGCGAAGAGAAAACATGTCTGATGAACGATAAGTATTTTGGAACCTCTTTTACAAGGATGTAAAATATGATCAATAAAATTGCTTGAAATGTCTGATTTTGTTCTCGATCTTCTCCAAAGAGCTGGAGGGAACATATAAACCAACATTTGATATTGTTGAAGCGAGAAAATTTACGCTACGTGAACACTGATTTCAACAAATGAGGAATGCGAGCAATCTCCAAGACTTGCTGTTTAATTTTAAATGCATCGAATAAAATAAAAGACAAGTGAATTTGTTAATTGTTTATGTGGCCATAGAGAACGATTGCTTTGATTGTTCCGAAGGATAAGAAGCAAATAAAACGGGTAAAAAGTTCGACAATGAAGATCTAGAGGGCGCTGTGTTATTTTTACTTTCCAAGGTCAACGACAGCCATTTTATCAAAAAATAAACATTATAATTACCATTTAAGATACGCTTTCTATCTGAGAATATACGATCAGTATCCCAAACTTTAGAAGTAATTTGCACTGTTATAAAGATGTTTTTGCTTCCTTTATTCAAAAAGAATTTAATCTGGAAATTTTTACGGTAGCAGTAGGTTGTCCATATTTCCCGGACGTATATATACTATGTAAGAAATCACAGACGTGCGAATAGCATAGAACCTGATAAAAATGCAAATGTTTCGATTATAGACATTTATCATAATGAATAATGAGAATATCATTTTTAAATTTCTGTGAATGTCTTGATTAACAAAAAAATACCTGGTACATGTCCATGTAAAATATGAAAGTCTTAGCACCAATTGTTCATGGTCAGTAATTAAATTTTTTCAAAAGTAGGTCAAACTCGAAGTTAAGGTCAATGGGTCAAAATTCATACTTTTGGTTTCGTCACAAGAAATACACCTGACCAATTGTTCAAAAGGCATGGTCAATAATTAAAGTTTTTCAAAAGTAGGTCAATTTCGAGGTTAAGGTCAATGGGTCAAAATTCATATTGTTGGTTTCGTCACAAGAAATACACCTGTGAAATATAAAAGACCTAGCACTAACCATTCAGAAGTTATGTCCAAGGTTAAAAGTTTGTAAAAGGCAGATCAAACTCAAAGGCCAAGGTCAAAAATATTTGTACACAAGGGAGATCTTATCATTAGGAATATTCTCTTTATTGATAATATTATTTCATTACTATTATAGTGTAGATATATTTTTATCAATGGAGAAAAAGTTTTAAAACGTCATGCTTTGGGTCAAACATACTTTATAACTGAATGTGTATTTTGAAAACCATTTTAAAGAAATTATTTACAATTAACTGGGAAAATTTGCAAAGAAAAAATACTGAACCGAGACTGCCATATAAATATTTCTGTATCAATGGTTAAAAGGAGTTGTAACATGAAATTCGACTCATAGTATCTATAGAAGAATACTAGTAGCATAATTCTATCAAAAACGTAATATTCTAAGCGTTTAAGCCAAAAATAACTTGAAAAATCTCGTTGACCTCAAAATCTATTCCCGCGTGCTTCTGCAATTTCCAGAGAAAAGCTGAAGAGGGAAAAGTTGTTCCTATAAATATTCAAAATGGCCCATTACTCAATCAAAACATTAGAATAACTTGATAACTAATATCAAAAGCTGTCAAACCTACCACACCAGATTTCCTTCATTGTAGCTCCAGTAAATGGAAATCCTGTTTGAGATTTAGGTTCAGTTTTATTCAAGTTTTTAAAACAAAATCGGAAAACGATGAAAAAGCTGATAAGTTTGAAAACTCTGCGACGAAAAATGCACTTATTCTTCTTTCGCAGGTAGAAATAAAATTTATGTTATGTGATTTAGTAGGAAAATTAAAACCCTTACTTTAATACAATAAATTATAGAAAAAAATCAACAAAAGAATTATTTTACTAGAAAGAGAAAAAATATTGTATTTTGGAAAGAAATATACGATGCACCCAAGTAAAATTCCGAATAGGTCACTGTATTAACTTTCGCCATGATAATGTAATCCACGACTGTCATTGATGAAAAGGAAGTGTTGTAGACTTCGGTACTGTATTATTTTTGAGATTGCATTTATTTGCTGAAATCTTTTGCTTGTGGAAATCTACTCCAATATATTTCACAAAATCGAAGCGATGAAAAAATAACTTAGCTATAGACTTCGACCACCAGACAACAATACGTTCGTTGACTTTCAACAAAATAAGTCCTAATTGCCGAAACCATAAGAAAAAGAACTTTACACTGTCATGAGCCGCTTCCCTTCATTTGTCGGTAACAATTCCGACATAATTACGCGGTTTTTCTTGTTCATTTGTGTGTGTTTACCTCTTCGATCTTTCAAACTACAAAGCAAATGCAAAAGCGTTAACAGACACAAAACTTATTCTTGTAAAACAGACATGAATTGGAACAAAATGAATCCAAGAAAGACAAATATTTAATTCAAAAAGTAAACGATTTCTACAGTAATACTATTGTTCGAAAATACTCGATCATCATCAAAATAAACTATATGCATTTTGAATCTATTAAAGTCATTGACCATTTCATGCAAGCCAATCTCATGTTGAAAATTATACTTTGCATCTTCATTGTCACTTGTTTATTTACTTTTCAAGTCATTTGTATTTTTGGACAACCGGCGTTCGCGCCATTGACGGTTGTTGGCCGCACGTTAACGTTATCGCGAGATCTCGCGCGAGGAAGCAGGGTCGTTAATAACTAAATGTGTTTACATGTCAAACGCTAGATTCCTCACAAACGAGCATTTGTCACAACACCCCAGAAAACAAATCTGCTTCTTACCTATCAGTGTCACATAGGTCGACCGTTCTCCATTAACCCCTGTGACAATACAAACATACCAACACTATTAGAAAAAAAAAAGTTTGCAATAATATTTCAGAACAAAGGCCAAACGGAGCCTGACTGCAATTCCAACAACATGGATAATGGTGAAGCACTACCAAGTCCCTCAGACGACGCAACATTTGATGATGTTGGACCTTTGATAAAGATGGACAATTTGCAAAATGGAAGGGACCATAATGAAGATTCCAAAGAGAAAATGCTCCCTGAAAATAATAATGTAAAGAACAAAACTAAGTTGGAGCACTTTGTAGCACCTCCCAAGGAAAACTGGGGCGGAAGTGGGGACTATCTATTGGCGGCGATCGGATACTCCGTGGATTTATCTAATGTTTGGAGGTTTCCCTACTTAGCCTACAAAAATGGCGGCGGTGAGTTGGTTGCTGTTCATGCTTTGTTATACTCATTAAAAATTACGTGTATTAGATAATTTGTATAATAAAAATTTAGTGGTAATCTTGGTCTCCTTTTAAGAAAATTATACAAATTGGTCAAAATAAATTTAAACATTTTAAGTTTGTTGAAGATGAACTTCAACATGGTCGTTACAAACGCACTCTTCAAATTCTATAGACAAAGTAACAATGTTTGGATTTAACTCGAATGAACCATAAACGCGGCTAAATCTTTTATATAAAAAGATTTCTTTTTTCTAGGAACTCGTAGACATCTGTTACGAACGAACTTGCTTGAAAAATAAACGTTTGATATTATTAGTAACCTTACATTATAAAGTATTTGTAAGAATAAAGACTGACACTTGTATAGACAGTCTTGGATGTTGCAGGTGCATTTATCATTCCATATTTCACGGTTCTCATACTCGGCGCTGTCCCCGTCTTCTTTATGGAACTTAGCATGGGGCAGTTCAGCAAAGAGGGGCCCATAAATGTTTGGAACAACCTTGTACCCATGTTCAGAGGTAAACATTTTTGGGAAAAAATACGTTTAGACCAAAGATTTGAATAAAAAATATTAAAGAATTTGAGACGTATTTTTACGAGAAAATGGCTTGTACATTGTAGTCCCTTTTATATAAGAATAAATACGTTCGTACTGAATTGTTTTCGTGTAATTCTACGTGATTTCGGAATAATTTTTAATCACACTTGGATATTGTAGGTATAGGTTTTGCCTCTTGTTGGATGGCCTACATCGTCGCTTTCTACTACAACATGGTTATCGCCTGGGCGTTCTACTACCTGTTCTCTTCTTTCTCTTGGAACACTCCCTGGTCAAGGTGTGACCACGAATTTAACACACGTGACTGCTGGCAGTCAGACTGGGATACCAATCAAACACACTCAAATAGGACCTTTAACTCCAGCACTGCTATCTCTTCCTCTTACGAATATTTTGAGTAGGTACATGTTCAAAGCATCTGGCATTCTGTATCTGTTTAATATGTTTTATTATTTCCTGATTGTCATATAAGATTTTTTTTTGCATGAAGACGAGGCGTTCTCAGTTTACACAAGAGTTCGGGAATTGACAACCTCGGTGGAATCAAATGGGAAGTCGCTGGATGTGTGGCCCTTACGTTCATTATTCTTTACCTCAGTTTGTGGAAAAGTGTTAAGAGTGCAGGAAAGGTATTTTTGTTATTTGTTAGCACTAACTGTTAAAATTCACACTGTCTCAGTGAGACACTTTTGAATCAAGAAATTTTCAAATTTACTGAATCCAATTTCAAATGAAATTATTATTAACAAAAGAAACTTAAAACTTTTTTTATAAGATATGAATTTTCAGTGAAATGCCGAAAATTAAATTTATTCGAATGTAAAAAAAAGATGAGTGTTGCCAGTTTAATGTTTTTTTTTTTTTAATTTAAGGTCGTCTGGTTCACGGCCACAGTTCCTTACTTGATACTCACTGCTCTATTGATTCGAGGCTCCATGCTCCCTGGTGCAGGAGAGGGGGTCAAATTTTTCATCGTTCCAAACATGAGCAGGCTCGCAGAAGTTCAGGCAAGTTTTTGCTTTGATACTTGAATAAGTTAGTGTGATTTTCATTTTTTTTCTATTCAAACCAAAAGACACATCCTCTATTAAAAGAGAGTAAGGATATATGCAAAGACTTTAAGACCTGATTTTGCTCCGTACTCTCTTTCCCTTAGGTCTGGATAGACGCTGCAGTGCAGATTTTCTTCTCCATCGGCGCTGGATTTGGAACACACATTGCATACGCCAGTTATAACAAGTTTAATAACAATTGCTACAGGTATAAACAAAAGAACCATAAACTTCTGCTTTTTCCAAGTGATCTGGTGGAATTTCGTTTCCGGATACATAAATAAAATCCTTGTAGAAATGAGTTTTTTCATGATCTCTTAATCTAATCTCTTTTTTATCATTAACAGTATCTTAACTCCTCAGGAATGTTTGTCATAAAAATAGATTATTATATACAAAAGCTTAAAGACTCCTAAATGTTCTTAGAGGGTATACCATAAACACAACACATAGAAAATCTGTTTCTTCTCTCGAGTTTCAGTGTCTGAGTTGATACATGTATTAACAACAGTAGTTTTTTGCGTCACATATACCGGGTAGATGAAGTGTCAGATTTAAAATTTATAATTCTAGTGCTTCTAAGTACATCATGTACACCTAATCAGTCCATATATTCAAATCTTGCCCAATTTCTTATTTGCAGGGATTGTCTCATAACAGCATCCGTAAACTGCATTACCAGTATCTTTTCTGGTTTTGTCGTGTTCACATACCTTGGGTACATGGCTCAAAAACAGCAAAAAGACATCAGGGATGTCGCACAAGATGGTAAAATTGTCTGTTATAGATGCTTTATGTTTCCTTGTGACTTATAGATGCTTTATGTTTCCTTGTGACTTATTCTTTAAAAAAAATTAATTTAAATTTTTCTTTTAAATAAAAGTTCTTTTAAATAAAATCTTAAAATCTTACAACTTTCATAATTGCAGGCCCGGGTCTCGTTTTCATCGTCTACCCAGAAGCCATTTCTACACTTCCGGGATCGTCAATATGGGGAATTCTGTTCTTTTTCATGTTAATTACGCTCGGTTTGGATAGCGCGGTGAGTAGCATTGCTTTATTGATTGTTTTCCCATTGTTTGCGTTCTCTTGACTAAATATTTTGCGAATTATACTGTCTTTAATTTTATTTTTTGTTTTTGTAGTTTGGCGGCTTAGAATCTCCGTTGACGGGTCTCCGGGATCAGTTCTACAGGGTATTTAGACACCGGTGGGCACGGGAAGTTTTAACCTTCTTAATTGTCGTTAGTGCCTTCCTTTTCTCCATTCCATGTATGACTGTAGTAAGTACAGGCTCCAAAAATAGTTGTTACATAGACTTGATTCTTCTTCTGCGCGTTTTATAAAATTGCGCATGGATTTATGATTTACTAGAATGTACCGAGTATTATCAGCAAGTGTTAAAAAAAATAAATGAAACTCTCTTAAATATAAATAACACAAACATTTCTTTCTTTCTTTTTTAAGAAATCGGCAAAAGGTCTAGTAGATTTATGTTCGTATAGATAATTGGAATGCGATTTGCCAGATCGAGTAAATGTAGAAATTGGTGATTTTTTGTAATAATGTCACAAAGTTTGAGCAAAATATTGCATATTTTTGAACAATAAAGGAACACGGTCTAAAATTTGAACAACAAAGAATATTAGTACTTACGATTTCCTTATATGTTGTGTAGAGATTTTATATGATTTGTGTAATTTCTTTTAAAAATCTAAATAAGTCAAAAATACGTACCAATCCATGCATTAGTTGCTTTTTTTATTTTCTGATATCTGTCTAATCTATTTAACCTTTTGAGAGAAAAAGCACATGTGTAATACAACAAATATGAAAGGTTGCTTGAACCAAGAGAGAGTCAAGGCTTTGCAATGCGGTGCAGGTGAAATGCCATGTGCACCAATTTCTTCTCATTCAGTGCAAAACCATTTATCTTTTGTACATTTATATTTTTGTGTGAAATTCCCTACCAGTTCGGATGATAATATGAAAGATAAAAAGATGATTTCAGCACAAACGTTTTATCTATGGGAGAAACTTAAAAGATTCTACACCCAATTTTTCATAAATATTCTTACACTTAGTAAGTGTAAGGACAGACTTAGTAATAAATAGGTAACAAATATTAAATATATTTTGTAATCTGTACGATAATATCATTTTTTTCGGCAATTTATTGAATGAATTTTAAAAAAATATCCGGCCTTCTCTCTAAGCGCTAAAAAAAAAAACTGAGTGCTTCTTTTTCTTGATAAATATACTGTAACTTTTTTTTCTCTTTCTCTTAATTTTGTAGGGAGGTATGTATGTGTTTAAAATACTGGATACATTCGCTGCCGGCACTTCCATCGTATTTGCCATTCTATTTCAAGTCATCGCCGTTTCCTGGTTTTATGGTAAGTCAAAAGAAAATTATATTTAAAATATTCTCACTTAAATTAGAAAGACTTCATGAAAAGTATTTGTTATGTGGAATATTAAAGGAGGCTAACAGAATTTTAAAACGGTGATCCAACTTTTTCAGGGGTGGATCAGTTTTGTTCGGACATTTATCAGATGACAGGCCATAGACCAGGGCTGTATTGGCGAGTGTGTTGGAAAATCCTCAGTCCTACATTCCTATTGGTAACTAACCCCCCCCCCCTTTCTTTCCACCTCCGTCCCTTTCCTTTTCAGCGACCACATACAAGTGCTGAAACATTCGTGTTAAACTTAAAATACCCTTCTGATAATACCCTTCTCATTTTCTTTGAAATTTGATTGGTATATTATTTAGTTCATTAATCAAGTTTAAATTCTAAATATACATTCTTTTATAAAATCAACAAAGTAAATGTTAGCCTCTACTTAAATATTAAATTACATCTAAATTGAACTCAAGATATTTTTGGACGATTTTACTAGAAATGCATTGCACACATTTGATTCAATTTAATTTTTTTTAATATTCATTATAGATAATTGTGATATCAAGCTTTTCTCATTATCGACCACTGACTTATAAGGGCAGTATGGGCGTGTACACCTATCCTTCGTACGCTAACGTCATAGGATGGGGCGTGGCTCTTTCCTCAATGCTCCTGATACCAGGTTATGCAGTGTATCTCTTGCTGTCCACTAAAGGAACTTTTAAACAGGTACAAAGACTGACGTATTTCTCTGATCTCAAGAACTTCTCATGCAAAAGGTGATTAATTGATTGGTTGTACATGTATGTTGTTAAATGTCCCTCTAGAGAAATTTTCACTCATATGAATACGTCACTAATTGCCGGTGTTTCGATTGGAATTTGAATTAAATGTAGATAACGAACAGTATTCAAGCTCAAAAGTCCATTAAATATATCATAACTAAATTATATTTCAATTACGTATAAATTAATTACTCTCAGTACTTTGATGAGTTCCTTTAATCAAACATGTTCTAATGTATTACACAGAGATTGGCAAAGTGCATAACCCCAAAAAGAGATCACGAGGAAATCACAAGAACCAATGACGTCAAACGTTTCAGGGTGAGTCCTTCGAGCGTCCTTGGCAACAGATAAAATTGTCCAATTTTCTGCGCCGGTATCGTAAGAACAATGTCATGTTCTGATAAGTACCCAGTTCTTTGTGTTTGCGAGCACGCACTTTCCTTGTTCTTTCAGAATAAGAATTTTCATTCACAGTTGAACACTATGCATACCTTAATGATTTTTATTCTTCGTTTCAGCTGAAACATTGGATAACCGTGTGATGTGTGTTTGGACAAAGTTTTTACCAGGATTATATGGGCTGTAGAACTTGTATCGTGATATTGTTAAATGTGACTTCAGTGCAATACCTTTCGATATGTCATGTTTTTATTCTAGCGGGTATTCTAATTCAGGTTTATGTTATATGTGTTAAAAAAATTATGCCAGTGAAATGTGTGTAAACCAAACTTTTTATCATTGAAAAAAACAATAAAGTATGAATGTAGTTTTATTGTATATGATTATTCTTAAAACGATGTCGAATAAAAACGAACCCTATTGAAATATCTGAAATGAATGGAGTTAAGTCTCAAACCCCTCCCATTTGCAATTTAAAGAGATTTACATAAAGGAAAACAATGACATCAAATTTTAGAAAGCCTTGCAGCAAGCTTAACAATGGAGACTTAATTGTGATGTTTCACTGTTATGGATACCTCTAAAATTTCCTTTAAGAACTCTCAAAAATACATAAAGATTCGGGTCTGTCTGTCAGTAAATTTTTCTGTTTGTCCATAATTATTGAATGGTTAGTGCTATGGCTTTCATATTTCACATGTGTATCCCTTATGTGACATAACTCTCTCGAGATACCAACAAATCTGATTTTGTGCTAGGGCTTTTATATTTTATGTGTATATATATCATATGACGAGCCTTTTCTATGAGCACCAACATTTTTTTTAAATTAACCTTGATCTTTGAGGTTGAACTACTTTTGAACCTTGGCGGTAACTTGTCAATTGGGGGTGTTAGGGTTTTTATATCACCTGTATATTCCTTGAGACAAGATCTTCCTCTGAGTACCAATGTTTTGACCTCCTAACATTGACTTTTAAGTTTTACTCACATATAAGTAATGAAAACAAGAGGCTCATGGGCCCCATCGCTCACCTGATACCGTTCTTTACCAGATCCCCCCTTGTAATACCTATTTTGCCCCCCCCCCCCTTCCGGGTCATGATTTTAACAATTTAGATATTACATTATCCAAGGATGCTTCCTCATAAGTTTCAGCTTTTCTGGCCCATTGGTTCTTCAGAAGATTTCTAAAGATTTATCCTATATGTTTCTATGTAAAACTTGAATTCCCTGTTGTTGCCCGTCATACCCCCGGGGTCATGATTTTAACAATTTAGAATCTACACATCCCCAGAATTCTTCCAGATAAGTTTAGGCTTATCTGGCCCAATGGTTCTTGAGGAGATAATTTTTAAAGAATTTTCCAAAATATTTCAATGTAAATCTTGGATCCCGGGGGTCATGATTTAAACAATTTAAAATCTACACTACCACAGGATGCTTCCAAATAAGTTTCAGCTTTTCTGGCCCAGTGGTTCTTGAGAAGAAGATTTTTTAATGACCCCACCCAATTTTTGTCTTTTCTTGATTACCTCCCTTTGTAAGGGGACGTGACCTGGGACCCGTTTTACAAAAGCACTTACGACTAAAACCAAAAATTTCAGATAGTTGTATATTTTTGCAAAATTAATAATTCTCTTTGAAACTGGTTGTGTAAAAATTTCTTACCACTTTCCTTTTAAAAAGTATAATTTCCGATAAAATGTTATTTAAAAGGTTATTTGAAGAATTAAATTTGGTCTTAAGTCGTAAGTCCTTTTGTAAAACGGGCCCCTGGCCTTCATTTTAACAATCAACCCCCCCCTTTACCCAAGGCAATCTCTACCCAGAGTTATCGTTCCACTCATAGCGAAGCGAAAGATAACTCTGGGTAGAGATTGTACCCAACGATGCCTTGTAATAAGTTTGGTCAAAATTGGCCCAGTGGTTCTTGAGAAGAAGTTGAAAATGTGAAAAGTTTACAGGCAGACGGACGGACGAACGACGGACATTTGGTTATCAGAAAAGCTAATTTGAGCTCAGCTGAGCTAAAAAAAATGCTATTATACTAGGCATATTACTCATAAGTTATTAATGATAAAGCCACGAACACATTTTCCCCATTTAAATTCTGTTCATCAATACCTGTAGGATGTTGTCCTTGAAAAGTTTATGAATGTCAGATTTCCTTTGTGGGAGAGAATAAGATAGACTCTATATAAACTTTCATTTTGTAATGCATGATATATTTTCCTCAATTTCCCAAAACATTTTTCATTAGTTTACAAATCTATACAAAACAGTTATCCAGTGTACAATATGATGAAGAATCTGGGTCACATCATGAATATATTTTTAAAAATCGGATTAAAACTTTTCAAGCATTTGTTAAATGCAATGAAATTTTTTTTAACTCACTGATCCGTATCTGAAGTAACACGGAAGTCAGTTGTTACAAGAAGCAATTTCTAAAGTACACCATATAAAGAAAGGTATCCCTCTAACGAGGTAGGAATTTTCAATCAATTTACGTACTTTATATACTTACAAGATATCAGGCTTGGATGATTTAAACATGTACTTCCTAGTTTACGTATATAATTAGATGTACATTGAATTATTATATTTTGTGAGAAACGATCTCTGGTTTTCGGAGGGGGAAGGGGGGGGGATGACTTCAGCATTTTAAATTTAACACGCTCGGTGTTAAGCTCATTAGAGGAAAATTTGGAATATATGTTATTTTCTCTACCTACTGCATTTATTTTGTATATGTCACATGAAATCTTTCAAGGAGATGGTGTATTCAAATAGGGTGTGGTGTTCGATTCTAGCCACCCTCCCTCCTTACACTTCGATAAAAATGATGAAAAAATAAAAATAACAATGTACCAAAACACTCATCTGACCCTATCGTCCCCTAGCATACCCTATTTTATCCTCATCCAGCCCAACTTTTGAGGGGGCCAAGATTTTTAAAATTTCCTTTTTAGTGTAAAATACTGCAACCCCTAACCACCCGTTTTGGGAATAAATCGCACTATGGGTAGTTGAATATGTAGGCCACTGCTGGATTTAGAGCCCTCCCTCCTCATTTAGTCTAAATACATGATTTAATAAATAAATTTTTGGTGTAGTTGTGGGCCCCTGCCAAGACCCCAAACTACCCCTTCCTTTTCAAGATACCTGGATCCGCCACAGTAAGCAGTCACATGAAGGCTAATTAATCAAACGTGAACCACTAAGAATCTAACAGATAGTTTACCCTTGAACTATAATGAGATTGTTTAAAGCTCTATAAGATATTTACCAAATCGTGTCAACGAAGAGACAGAAATACCTATTATAATTTTTTAGTCAAATCAATAAATTGTATACATTGTGGTCGATCTAATCATGCAAAAATTGGCTTCATTTCTTTTTTAAAATCCCTTTTTTATACTAATTTCAAATGCCTATATTAAAAATACATTCTCGGCTACTGCTTGATTAAGCTTTGCGGACAATCTTTATTCTGCAGGATAGATTAGAAAATATTAAATTGATTATATTTAAAGATACATGTATCGACTCTGATATACATGTACAGTACTGCTTCGAAAAAAAAATAATATTTTGGATTTTTATTGGAAATATTGTTGACTCACAATTATTTAGAAAAACAAGAGGCCCGTGGGGCACATCGCTCACCCGAGCATTGTGGCTAGGAAAAAGTAGAAATTGGTTATAATTACAATACTATAGAAAAGTGTAAAACCAAAAGTTTGGCCCCGCCCTACCCCCGGGGGTCATGATTTGAACAAACTTGAATCTACAATACCTGAGGATGCATCCATATAAATATGAGCAATTATGGCTTTGCTATTCTTGAGAAGAAGATTTTTAAAGAGTTTTCCTATATATTTCTATATAAAACTTTGGTCGGCCATTGTGGCCCCGCCCTACCCCCGGGGGTCATGATTGGAACAAACTTGAATACACTACAACCTGGGGATGCTTCCATATAAATATGAGCAATTATGGCTTTGCTGTTCCTAAGAAGAAGATTTATAAAGAATTTACCTAGATATTTCTATATAAAACTTTGGTCGGCCATTGTGGCCCCGCCCTAACCCAGGGGGACGTGATTTGAACAAACTTAAATCTACACTACCTAAGCATGCTTCCATATAAATATGATGAACTATGACTTTGTCATGTCTTAGGAAGCAGATTTTTAAAGAATTTTCCTATATATTTCTATATAAAACTTTGGTCGGCCATTGTGGCCCCGCCCTACCCCCGGGGGACATGATTTGAACAAACTTGAATCTAACTACCTGGGGATGCTTCCATATAAATATTAGCAATTATGGCTTTGCTGTTCTTAAGAAGAAGATTTTTAAAGAATTTTCCTATATATTTCTATATAAAACTTTGGTCGGCCATTGTGGCCCCGCCCTACCCCCGGGGGTCATGATTGGAACAAACTTGAATTTACACTACCTGGGGATGCTTCCATATAAATATGAGCAATCATGGCTTTGCTGTTCTTGAGAAGAAGATTTTTAAAGAATGTTCCTATATATTTCTATATAAAACTTTGGTCGGCCATTGTGGCCCCGCCCTACCCCCGGGGGACATGATTTGAACAAACTTGAATCTCCACTACCTGAGGATATTTCCCCATAAGTTTCATCTTTCCTGGCACAGTGGTTCTTGAGAAGAAGATTTTTAAAACATACCACCAAATTTTCACTAATTCTCAATTATCTCCCCTTGGATGAGGGCGTGGCCCTTCATTTGAACAAACTTGAATTCCCTTTACCCAAGGATGCTTTGTGGCAAGTTTGGTTGAAATTGGCCCAGCGGTTCTTGAGAAAAAGTCGAAAATGTGAAAAGTTTACAGACAGACAGACGGACAGACAGACGGACGCCGGACAAATGTGATCAGAAAAGCTCACTTGAGCCTTCGGCTCAGGTGAGCTAAAAAACTTCTCAATCGTTGACCACCTCTGAGAGTTAGAAGCTGCTTTCAGTGCATTTTGTTGAGGATGCTTTATTGTATATGATCACAGAGAGGATTCTAATAATAATACCCTAAATTCACGCGAAACACCATTTTGTCAAAGATTTATTTTACAAAGGTTATACACGTGCTTTTACGTTCTTTGCGGTACTCTTATGTCAACACTTTCCTCTGGTTAGTCAAAAGAGACGAATATAAAGCAAACACGTCCAAGAAGGTACAATTCCGGAAACCATTCCCAGGTTTTATTATTACGCAAGCGGATTACTTGATAAATATTGCAGATGTGTTTTCGGGTGATGCAACTTGTTTGTTCAGTTAATTGATCTTCTCACTGTTCAATATCCAGGTCCAACTGGTTTTGACACCTTAATCAAAAATGTATCATGGCAAAGCAGACCCCCCGAGGCGACAAACAGGCCGACGAAACCAGTACGCTTATGACAATCCCGCATTATCTGAAACGGCTTCTACCCCTAGTATCTTCACAGTGGAGAGCTCAAGCTCACTTATACACAAGGACGGCGTCTCACTCGACTTGTACCCGGCGCTCCGGAGAAACTCATTCGAATCCGCTTTGGAGACAGGAAGTAGAAAAAGTTGGCGAGAATCAACGGAAAGAATGTCGGAGGATCCTGCCAAAACGGCTGGTACGTCAACAGACGCCCTCATAGCAACAGAAAATGGAGAAGGTTCGAAAGAATCTAAAGAAGAGAGGGAAACTTGGGACAACAAAGCTCAGTATATCTTAGCAGTCGTTGGGTAAGTAGTATTTTTATTGAGAGTGTAAATTCGTTTCATTTCATAAGATTTTGTTAGTCCGAGATATCCCACTTTCTTGCGTTTGTCACAGTTTTGGTATTTGACTTGCCAGGAAATCTTTCTTTCCCCGCACCTCAAATATCAAAAGCGTAAACAAAAAAAAAACGCCTGGAAAAGGTCAGATATTTGGACATAGGGTATTTTAATTAGTATTTTAGATGTAATCATTTATGGAAACAATTTTTTTAAACGGGGATATCCTGCTATCCCGCGATTCGTTTGATTCTAGTTTTTAATTTGACGGGGGTGGTGTTAATCTTTTTTCCCACCAAAACAGATACTATTGGCCTATATCACAAAGGAAATGACACAAATCCATAGAGTCAGAAAGAGAGTCGTAATTGAAAAAGAGAGATAACTAATATTAAATTGTATGATTTTTTTTAACGGAGGAATGAAATAACTATGAAACTGATTGAGCTAGACATAGAAAAATGCAAGTATGGAATAAAGTACAGCCAATTGTGTTGTAAACCATTATTCATTAAGGCCTAGGCTGCATGGGTACATAATCTCTATCTGATCAACTTAAAAAAAATTCTGAAGTCTTTATTAGTAAATAATTACTTCCCAATTATTTTTAGAAATAAATTTGGTCTTAATTTGTAAACAATGACCAGATGGCATAAAGTATAAAGACAGAGATTGTACATATGGTTTGAAAAAAAAGTGCAGGCGACTATACCCCGCTGGTTTGACATTTCTGCTAATAAGGCAAAACGGCGGGGCGTCCACGTGTGCACAAAATCAGAGACCCATTGCCGACTGTAATTAGTACATTTACTATGTATCCATAAATCATCACTACTGATAAGATGTTATCTAAATACTCAATATTACTTATTTATTAACCATGTTAATCACAAAAAAGATTAAAATTGCCAGCGTCAAAATTATGTCAACTATATGACATGGCTTCGTCTCTATTTTTTTATTGAATGAAAAACTCGTACTTTCTAAATATTCCTCTAAACTCTCAAATTATTTTCTATAAATATATAATCAAAATCGTCTTATAAACTAAATTTTATTTTGCAGATACGCTGTAGGATTGGGAAATGTTTGGCGTTTTCCATATTTAGCACAGAAAAATGGAGGCGGTGAGTTGATTAATAACTTTTTCATTTGTGCAATAGATATTAAGAAAAAAAACTTTGTCATGACTATACAAAGCAAAAAAGAAGGGAAAAACACGAATTTAAAGCTAACTGACCTTGAATAGAGGACACAGTTTTAAATGATGCATGATAAATGAACCTGTGAGTGGGCGATACCTGGGTATATGAATCTCGATCGGTGACGGTGTTAAATAAAAGAAAATTGAAGCACACGCATGGATTAAAGTGCATTTTGACTAAAATCAATTTCATAGGACATATTACATAAATGTCTAATGTAAAAAAAATATATAAAAAAATGGGGGGAGGGGAATCACACACAAAACTGCACATTCATCAAAATTAACTGAAACTGCGGTACATGTATATCCTATACTTTGTAAGACAACCTAGTTTGTAAATAAATTTTAATTACTGAAATTCACATTTATTATAGGAGGACTATAGAAGAAAAACAAGAACTATTTAATTAATTAAATTTTTATAAAATTATAGTAAAATATACTATAATACTTTCACAAAATATTTTACGACTAAGACTAAAATTTCACCACTCTGTAATTTTTAATTTTTCTAAATAAATAATTACAATCTAATTATAAAATATGCAATATTATAGAAAATTGAGATTTTCTCAGTTTTAGATATTAGTTGTAGAATGGGGGAAAATGTTTAGTCTTTTTCGTTTCTTTGTGAAAAGAGCCACCGGTGTCTTATTTTCTATATTTTTTCTTACTTTACAGGTGCTTTTCTCATACCGTACACAATCATGTTGGCGATTGAAGGCGTTCCCATCTTTTACTTGGAGCTTGCAGTGGGTCAGCGCTTGCGTAAAGGTGCCATTGGCGCCTGGAACCAAATATCGCCGTATCTTGCTGGTATCGGAATAGCTAGTGCTATGGTTTCCTTCTGGGTCTCGTTGTATTATAATACTATAATAGCCTGGTGTCTGTATTATCTAGTCAACAGTTTCCAGTCTCCCCTGCCGTGGGCTGAATGTCCTGGAAATGTCACGGAGTGTTCGGTTAGTTACTTTCGGGGACTCAGTATAAAAGAAACACAGAATTTCCATGATTCAATAAATTTCATTGTATAGATAGAAAAATCTTTGAATTCATAAGTTAAAGAACCTTTGCATTATCATACATCTTTAAATAGTAAATGCTCTCGATTTACCAATACTGCACATCAAAACACATATCTAAGAAACTAATTTTAGTATCATTTAACTATAATCCGGGTCTATACCTTTTCCCTCTGTCTTTTTCTTTGAAAAAGCATAAACTTTTCTAATCGAATCGCAATTTACTTTTTTGGTATAAAATATATATAAATTCTTAATTTTAGATGAGTGGCTCAACCACATATTTCTGGTACAGGGAAACTCTCAACATCTCACCTTCCGTTGATGAACGCGGGACCTTGAACTGGTGGATTGTGGTCAGTCTATTAGCAGCCTGGCTAATTGTTTTCCTGTGCATGGCAAAAGGAATAGCATCTTCGGGCAAGGTACTCACATATATATAATTTCTGAAATGGTCTCCGAGAACTGTACCTCTTTCGGTATTATCTCCAATAAATCTAGTTATCTGATATTTGAAATTCATTTATTTTAGGTTGTGTATGTCACGGCAACGTTTCCATATCTGGTGCTCCTTATTTTTTTCTTCCGTGGTGTGACGCTTGAGGGGTTTGAAGAAGGAGTGAAACATTTTTTCGTCCCGGATGTAAGCTTTTCAGTTCCCTTTATTTCTCATTAATTCTACAGGAATTTCTATTGATGGACGGCACACATAAATAAATCATTTGTAAATTGTACATGGATCATTGATGAATGTATTTAACAAATACAATGTTTTGGAATTATTTGTTTTTTAATTTAAAGATAATTTAAATGTATGTTTACTTATTTTTCAGTTTTCTCGTCTAGGAGATCCGCAGGAGTGGATAGAGTCCGCGACACAAATTTTCTTTTCTCTTGGAGTGGCTTTTGGGGGCTTGATCGCCTTTTCTTCCTACATGCCCGTTCGAAACAATTGCTACAGAGACGCCATCTTGGTTTCTGTCGTAAACTGTGGCACTTCCGTCTTTGCAGGAGTCGTAATTTTCTCAATTCTAGGTATATATTTCAGATTATAATCAAAGAATATGATATACATGTATTGGAGTTAATAGGTAAAGGAACAGAGCTAGTAATTTCAGTTGAACATTTTATTAAATTCTGACTCAACCTTAGGACAAAAATGACCATCGAGCAAAAACTACTGGAACAGTTATATGCATATTCTTTCTAAAAAACAATTCAATAAAATTATGCCAAACCTACATTTTCAGGATTCAAGGCAACACAGAGTTTTAAGGCCTGTAATGCCCAGAACGATTTGTTATTGAGCCAGAATATGACAACAGGGTTCCTGACATGTGACATCAAAACAGAGATACAGAAGGTAAAAAACCCCTCCCCACTACTCACGCACACATACAATACAGAATATTTCTATATATCCCTATTTATCCTTCAAGCTTCTGCAAATTAAAAAGTGCCCGATGAGTTTTTCACCAAATGAAAAATAATAAAAACACTGTATCTGATGTTAAAACTGGTAAAAACGCACCTTTTATGTCTTATTTATAGGGCTTATACAAATTTTGTTAATCAGTAACAACTTAAGCCACCAATCTATTGCCGTTTCTGTTAAAATAACTATTAACATGTTCGTTTTGTGAAATAAAGAATCCCGCAATGTTTAAGGCAGCGTGAATGACCAGTGAACTCGCATTTTCAAATTTAATTATTTTAGAATCTTTAATTTAAAAAAAAAATTCTGTTACATTTTAAGAGCGGATCAGGAACAGGACTGGCGTTCATTGCCTTCACAGAAGCCATTAACCAGTTACCCGCCGCCCCCGTATGGTCAGTGTTGTTCTTTCTGATGTTGCTGACCCTCGGGCTGGACAGTATGTTCGGAATGTTAGAGGGGGTCGTCACCTCCATCATCGACATGAACCTCGTCAAAAACCTCCGTAAAGAAGTGTGTGCAGGTAAAAAGAACTTGTTAATTTTTGTAAATACTAATTATCATTATCAAATTATCAATATAGAAATTTAATCCATTTCATGTTTGATTCTAATGAAATACACCTTTCCTCAAAGAAAATTTTCACGTGCCCGCAAAGTTCTGATCTATTTTGACATCTATACCACCATAGATTTAAGTACGCATGAACAAAAACTTACTGTACTGTTACTGTTGCTCTTTTTATATATCTAAGCTGGTTTTGTCTCTGGTTGTTAGATTTAATCCTATCGTTTTTACATTGCATTTTCCCTGTCTTCCAGCTGTCCTTTGTTTGGTTTCCTTACTGATCTCCTTCTGCTTTGCGGATTCAGCGGGCCCTTACATTTTTGTTCTGTTTGATGAATACAGTGGAAATATCCCTCTCCTTATCATCGCTCTTGGCGAACTCCTCGGACTAACGTATGCGTACGGACTAAAAAGGTAAGATCTCGTACTAAAGAGTAATTATTGCAACAGATCATGACACAGATTTGTTAGAGCTATACTAACCACCTTTGAAAAGAATACACTTGAAAAGATATTGAAAAAAAAATCAAATTTTACTTTATATTTTCAGTTGATAAATGCTTCTTTTTTCTCATTTCGAAAGGTTTGGTGACGACATTGAACTAATGACAGGACAAAGACCTAATTATTATTGGTTGATTATGTGGAAGTACGTATCTCCGCTAGTTATCATCGTCATTTTCCTCGCAAGTTTCATCAAATCAATGATCAGCAGCGCGACGTACGAGGCATGGATTCCCTCCATAGTAAGTTGTAAAAATTTATTCGAGGAAATATTTAGGAACGTTTTTTTCTGTATTTTATTGCTTTTCGATTGCTTTTTTATTTGATCTATCTCTCCATTAAAATTGAATGGAAATGATGACGTTACACAATGTTGATGACGCAGTGAGCTGTTTCTCTACCGTGTAAATTTCATTTTATTTTCAGGCGGATAATATAACAACAGAGTGGCCAGCATGGTGTAAGTTTATAGCAGCAATGTTAATTATCAGCGCCATGGGGTGGATCCCCCTAGTAGCAATTGTGAAAAAATTCAATCTTGTAAAATGGGAACCGGAAACGCCAGCGGAGTTTCCGGAAGAAGAACTTGTTGCCGAGAGGGGAATAAAACCTCATATACCATCTGACAGAGAAAGGAAATGGCTTTACTGGTTAGAGAAGTTGTAAGAAACGGGATTGGTGCAATATAAACTGTCTCTGTGTCCACTTTTAGATAATATTCAATGTAAAATATTTTAGCAAGTTAATTTAACAAAGTTGCATAGATTATGATTTTATACTTTTATATGCAGAAGACCTTTTACAGTACTTCCAGTTTATAGAACTATTATAAAGTTGCATCAATTATTATAGTTTTTGTACTTTTATACGAAAAATTGTTTTCAAGCCACTTCGAACATTTTTATGAAAATTGCTTTTATAGGAATTATCATATTATGCAATACTTTAGTTTTTATGACATTGTAACATTAAAATATTTTATAGTTTTATCTATTTTGACTTATTAATCGCGACATAGAACTGGATTATAGATTGATTCTTCCGCTAAGCACAATCTTTGAACATTTCTATTTCTATCTGTTTTCTTTGTGATAACTCATTGAAAGTTAGTTGAGTTGATTTCTTGAAAATTCTACAGGAATGTAAATTTTCGCTCAGCGAAAGGTAAAGAGCTAAGGAGGCCTAATATGCATGTAAATCTTGTGCATTCGTCAGTGGGCGGGGGCTATCGAAATTGACATGGGAGGCCTCGTGTAATTTAAATCTATTAGACAACATTTTTCAAATATGAAATTTATTTCCCAATGAGATGGAAATGCATGTATAAGGAATCACTTTCTAGTTTGTCGGGTTTGCCAGGGACAACAACGATAATTGGAAACGTGGGATAATTGATTCACCCGTTGTGCAAATTATCCCACATTTCCAACTATCGTTGATGCCCTGGCATACCCAACCAACTAGACAGTGAAATCTCGTGCGTCTGTCTTAGTGACTGGCGTCAGTGGACGGGGACTATTGAAGTTGACATGGTCGATATCGTGTAATTAAAATCTATTAGACAACATTTTTAAAATCTAAATACAATGAAACGAAAATACAAGTAATCACTTTCTAGTGTGTTGGGTATGCCAGGGCATCAACGATAGTTGAAAACGAGGAATAATTTGCATAATCGACGAAGACGGTGAGTTCTTAAATAGTATTCCTTAAATAGTATTCAAATTACCAATATATCCTATCTGCAAAAGTACATCTGACATGTCACAAGGTTGTACAAGGTTGCAAATTTGCACTCTGCAAAGTCAGTCATGTTTCAAATAATGGTAAGCAGATAAATTTTCAGGGGATTGACTACAGGTACATTGTATATTGCATGCACTTTTAAAAGATCAGTAAAAGTTTGAGAACAGAGGAGGCGGATCTAGGGGAGAAAAATCAGACCACAAAGCATTTTATATCTCTTTTCTGCATTAAAAAAGGGCCTTTTTCTTATTTGAGATAAACAATTTTAATCGTGAATCAAGAAATTTGGATGCAAGCTTGCACTACACATACATGTAGGCATTAATATCATTAATAAAGGCGAAAGTAAAAGAATGTTCTCAAATCGGTTACAAGGCCACCACCCCTCCCTCAAATATTGAAGAATAATTTCTAAACATGCAGTTTCGGTACAACTTGCTGCTTTTGATTGGTCCCCATCATTTCGGTCCAATCTAGATGAACCTATATGGTACTAAATTTTTAAAAAAAAATATTAAAACAGCTTCTTCAGTGACTGTAGTCTTTTTGGAAGTTGCACCACAGGCACCTGAAGTATGGATAATACCCCCTCCCTTTTTTTAATGAAAAAAAAATGTGAGAGTGTATAATACCTCGAAAATATAAAATTTCCCAGTCAAACACATCTATATGTCTCAGAAACAAAAGCTGTAAACAAACAGGGATGCCCCACTTCGAGACAGATTTCCAAGGTAATAACAGTGTTACCTATCATACTTTTGCAAACACTCTGTCTGGAAGATGTTCTTTTACTAGTCTCTCTAACCTAAACCCCGCTATAAGCGTTTGATATGCCGTAATCGGACGATTTATTAATCGGATACATAGATTTTCTCCATTGACAGCTTTGGAGCAGGTTTTGGAGTTGCTTATCTGTTTCGCCTTATCTGATTGGTCAATTGTAATACAGTTTAAATATCTAACCAATCAGATAAGGCGAAACAGAAAAGCAGCCACAAAACCTCCTCCAACGCTGCTAATGGAGAAAATTTTAATGGAGAGAACTAATATAGGCCCTTGGCCTGCTGTTCAATCCATATTCATATTGTACTCTTTGTATATTATGAATAAAATACTTCTTAAACTAATGGAGAAAATTTTATGTATCCGATTAATAAATCGTCCGATTACGGCATATCAAACGCTTATAGCGGGGACAACTTTTGTTTCTTACCTTGTGTATTTTTATTATACCGAATAGGGCCATTCTTTAAACGTGAGAAAAACTACAATCTGATTGCATATAACAACATATAGATGAGTTTGACAGGGAAATTTTATATTTTTGAGGTATTAAGTACCAGTCCATATAAAAATCATGCAAAAGGTGATTCACTCAGGTTCTCAGAATTCAATGATTTTCCACACATAGATTTCTCTTGACCTATGATCCACAGGCACCTGACGTTACTTATTTTTCTTTTAATATAAAAAAAGTATTCCCATACCTAATTAATAAACCAAGGTCCACAACGTCGCCATCTTGGATTTTTCTAGGTTTGCCACATCGACTTGTATTTTCGTCTGAAACTCCGTCAAATAAATTCCCTGCAACCATATTCTTTCTGTTACCAGTCTTTTGGGGTCTAAACTTACGGACACTGCAGCCAGAAGGGCGCATCACACTTGCAATTATTAAAAATCCCTCGTCAAACTCAATCTACTGCTTCAACAATCCGAGAAATCGCCAAAGGGGGGCCGGAAGTTTACACTCGACTTGAAATTCTTAGGGAAAGCCCTTTTTTGATTGGTCAATATATTTGTACGATTATTTTTAAAAATAACCAGCGAAAGTTTAATCTTATTCCAAAAACAATCATTCAGACAATAATACAATGTAATATACATGTAAGAACATTCATTTTATTTTCCTCCAAAATAATTTCGATATAGCATGATTAAATCGATTATATTTTGTAAATGTCGAAGATTGGCCTGCATGATCATGCTGATCAATGAACATTTTCGAGACAAAATATTGAGTTGATTGTAAGTCCCTACTTACATGCACTAAATATAATAAATATAATTAACTAGAGCAAAGCTCGTTGCAAAGCAACGAGTAGGTCTTCCGTCCTGCTTAACCGGAAGTAGTTCTCATTTTTAACAAAAATGAGAAATAACGCCCAAAAATGCTTTGAATCCTCTAAAGCGATGTTAATTAATTCAAAAATAAGCTATTTTTTTTGCTACTTCCGGTTTGACCGGAAGTGACGACTATGCACGAAAAATTAATTTTTAAGCTCCCAGAGACATATGTTGCCCAAAAACTTGTCAAAAACGGCAAAAATACGCGTTTTCCGACTACTTCCGGTTTGGCCGGAAGTGACGACGCTGGAAGTATTTTGACGACTCCATTAGATTTAGCTTGACATTTTCAACAACTTTGCTTCTTTGATGTATAACAAATTCTCAATACTTTTTGAGATATCTGGAAAAAACTTTTGGCCCCTCTAGATCCCTTAATTTAGGGGTCAGCCCTTTTTCCGACATATCATTCGAAAGATCTTCTAATTCTGCACAAATCATGTTCTATATATTTTAACAAAATATTTTTAGTTTAAAAGATAAAAAGCAAAATATGAGTAATTTTTGGTTCTTTTAAGCGTTCTAATTTTTGACCCCTATATAGCGCCATTTTGAATAGAGAAATCGAAAAACAAAAACCGATGTGCACAACTTCAATCCTTCTTTTATCTAAAATCAGTAGAATTTCTGCTCCAGCTTAGCCGTCTCTGAGCCTTTGTCTGGAAACGAAAGCCTATAAATTTTCGTTTAAAGGGAAATAACTCAAAACCGGAAGTGACTTTTTGAAATTTTAGTCAGCTTTCTGATAGAGTTTATAAACGTCTATAACCTCTGAAAATTTGAGCGAAATCCGTTGATAAATGAGTGAGATATGAGGCCTAAAAGTTGCGGTCTAGGAAGCAGAAGAAAAAAAAGAATAACTAGAGCAAAGCTCGTTGCAAAGCAACGAGTAGGTCTTCCGTCCAGTTCTGACCGGAAGTGACGTCAACAAGAGAAAGGAATGAGTTAAGACGCCTTCAGTGTCTCTAAAATTTAAAAAATTTCAATTTTACGTCAAAACCTTCAAAATAAGATCATTTGGCTACATCCGGTTTGACCGGAAGTGACATCATTTGACGAATTTAGACAATTTAGGCATCATTTCCGGCCGACGTCAAAGTCACAAGTACAAAAAAACTTTCAAAAAACTCGCATAAAACCATTTGTTCTATTTCTTTTGACGCAAGAGAGATAGTTTAATTTTTCGACTACTTCCGGTTTACACCGGAAGTTATTCAAATGGATGCGTTTTGTTGACGATTGTTAATGTGAACATAAGTTTTACTTGCCATTATTCAAAACAGTTAATTTTTTCAAAAAATCTCGAAAATTAATGTCACTTCCTGTGTCGACCGGAAGTGACGGATGCAAAATCAAAAGATGCCATGCATAATTGAAAGAGATGTTTTATCATCCCCGAAAATATCGTGATTAAATCTTGAGTGGTTAAGGAGGAGTTGCTTGGACAAAATGGCAATTTAAAAAAAGAAAATCGGACGGAAAATGTGACCGGAAGTGATTTTACCAAAAATAAAAAAATGGTCTGGAGATATTATAACAATGCATTATTCCTGAAAAAATCTTTGAAATCAGTCAAGTAGTTTCCGAGAAATCACGTGTACTATGAAAAGGGAATAATAATAATAATAGGAAACATAAGAAAAACAGTAAGGTCTTCCGAAGGAAGTCGGAAGACCTTAATAATCTTTACCAACAGAATCAGTAGAAGGTCTTCCGTTGGAAACGAAAGACCTTAATAAAACTGTCATTATTGATGCGCTGTTTGAGCGCTATCCGTGGAGAAGATTGACTTTGTTTATTTAAAGTATGTGCACATGCGCACGTGTGTGAGGAGGGGGAGGCACACTAAAATTATTTCAGGGAGTGTTGTGATCTGCAATTTTATGTATTGCAATAAAGTACATGTAGTGGCCTGGCAACATTTTT